AGGGCATGGTGGCGCGTGCCTGTAATCCCAGCTACTCAGGAGGCTGAGGCAGGAGAATTGCCTGAACCCAGGAGGCGGAGGTTGCGGTGAGCCGAGATCGCGCCATTGCACTCTGGCCTGGGTAACAAGAGTGAAACTCCGTCTCAAAAAAAAAAAAAGAGAGAAAATATTTTCAAATCACATATCAGATAAGGAGTTAATATCCAGATTATATAAAGAATGCCTACAACTCAACAACAACAAAAAACCTGATTGAAAAGTAGACAAATACCAACATGAGCAAGACAGCAGGATCCTCTCCCTCCAAAAAGCAAGGAATTAGCCTCGTGCTAGAGAGGCTGAGGTGGGAGGGTCACTTGAGAGCAGTTTGAGGCTACAGTGAACCATGATCTCACCACTATACTCTATCCTAAGTGACAGAGTAAGACTGTGTCTCAAAAAAGGAACAGAAAAATAGACAAATAAATAGACATTTCTCAAAAGAAGATATACGAATGGCCAATAAGCACATGAAGATGACATCATCAGTCATTAGGGAAATGCTGATCAAAACCATATTGAGATACCACTTCACACCCATTAGGATGCTATTATCAAAAAAAAAAAAAATCAATGGGCAGGTGCTGTGACTCATGCCTGTAATCCCAGCACTTTGGGAGGCTAAGGCAGGCAGATCACTTGAGCCCAGGAATTCAAGACCTGGCCAACATGGTGAAATCCCATCTCTACTAAAAATACAAAAATCAGCCAGGTGTGGTGGTGAAGGCCTCTAATCCCAGCTACTTGGGAGACTGAGGCAGGAGAATTGCTTGAACTCCAAAGAGGTGGAGGTTGCGGTAAGCCAAGATCACGGCACTGCATTCCAGCCTGGGCGACAGAGTGAGACTCTATCTCAAAAAAAAAAAGTGGCCGGGCATGGTGGGTGGCTCATGCCTGAAATCTCAGTGCTTCGTGAGGCTGAGTTGAGTACATCACTTGAGCCTAGGAGTTTGAGACCAGCCTGGGCAACATGGCAAGACCTCATTAAAATACAAAAATTAACCAGGTATCGTGGCTCCTGCCTGTAGTCCCACCTACTCAGGAGGCTTAGAGGTGGGTGGATTGCTTGAGCCTGGAAGGTTGAGGCTGCAGTGAGCTGAAATTGTGCCACTGCACTCCTCCAGCCTGGGCAACAGATGAAGACCCCCTT